CCCACTCCTAACTCACCGAGACGCCGCAGCATGATACCGTGGTCCACGGTATCAAAAGCCGCTGAGAGGTCCAAAAGAACAAGGACAGAGGAATAACCCCTGTCCCGGGCCCTCCAGAGATCATTAACCAACGTGACCAATGCCGTTTCCGTGCTGTGTCCCGGCCTGAAGCCCGACTGGTATGGGTCTAGATAGTCTAGAATTAGAGTCCGGGCCTTCTCTGTGGTGGCTCCTGTGTAGCATATTCCCTACCCATTGATGCACACTCTTTACCCTCGTTTTTAATGAAATCTGAAAGCCTGTTTTTGTAACTTGTCTTATCCTTCTGAAGGTCTTTTTTCGGGTTTTCATGGGTTTTGTTGTTATTTATCTGTTCGATGCATAACGTTTTATTGTTATTTAGCATTGTAAACTGCTGCAGGCCAGCTTTATTTATTAAATTTGTAGGGCTGCCCAACTCAGATGTATGGCTCTGGGTGGCTAACAGTTTAAAATAAAAAGCAATGCTACAATTCATGTAGTCCTTGAGTTACAACTGTAATGGAGCCTGCCTATTGGGATTATAGATCATGACAGTCATGAAGCAGGTCATCATGTCCTGATTTTACAAACTTTTTTTTTGTTTTGCAGTGGTCATTAAGCAGATCTATTGCTTGCTATGGGATGTTTTTGCTAAAAAACCATAAGTAAATACCACTTTGCAGTAAAAAAACACACATAAATTGCAGTCATGTGACTGTGGGACACTGCAAATAGCTGTAAGTGCAGATCAATTGCCAGTTATCCAAAATGTCATCATGTAACCAGGTGAGCAGCCATCAGATCTTTGGAACTGAGGTCATAAGTACCTTTTGGAGATTCTATCATAACTTTTGATGCTAAGCCATAAGTCGAGGACTACATGTATAAGTAACATAAAACAGGAGCCAGGCAGCAATACAGTGTAAATATCTACCGTCAATGCTTCCCCAAAAGCTTCTGGGCATTAATTTGAAAAATAAATAAGTTTATGTAGTTCCAGAGTTGATACACTTGGTCGTTTCTGATCTACAGGATGAGACATCTGTAAATGTGTTCCTCCATTTATTATTCTTTTTTCCGTTTTTCTTTTTCCCGTAGCACTTAGTAGGACGGCTGATAGGCAAACAAGGGAGATATGTGAACTTCCTGAAGCAAGTCTCTGGTGCCAAAATCTACATTTTCACACTACTTCACACCCAGGACTTCCAGATCTGTCATATAGAAGGTGAGTGGAACCTGCTGGAGGACTATGTGGAATGGGCATTTCACCCCAAGTTTAAAATATGGGTCATTTGATTTTTGATTTACTGAATCTGAGAATTCTCCACTCCTGTGGTGCTTCCCTCTACATCAGTGTTTCTCAACCTTGACAATTTTAAGGCATGTGGACTTCAACTCCCAGAATTCCACAGCCAGCATTGCTTCTGGGAATTGAAGTCCACATGCCTTAAAATTCTCAAGGTTGAGAAACACTGCTCTACATTGATTGGATAAGGAGTGACACTCATATTAAGACTTTGTGGAAGAGTGGGGCTGTGGTGGCGCAGTGGTTAGAATGCAGTATTGCAGGCAAACTCGGCCCACAGCCTGGAGTTCGATCCTGACTGGCTCAAGGTTGATTCAGCCTTCCATCCTTCCAGGGTCAGTAAATTGAGAACCCAGATTTTTGGGGGCAATATGCAGACATTTGTAAACTGCCCTGAGAGTGATGTAAAGCACTATTGTATGTAAGTCTAAGTGCTATTACTACTGCTATAGATAAGAATGGTCCAAATCCGTGTTAATTAACCTCAGCAACTTTACGATGGGTGGACTTCAAGTCCCAGAATTCCCCAGCCAGCCATACTGGTTTTAAGAATTCTGGGAGTTGAAGTCCACCCATCTTAAGATTGTTGAGTGGAGAAACATTGGTCCAAATGGAAAACCATTGAGTTTGGTGTAAATACGCTGGATTGAATTCTTCCTTTCACATAGAAATTGGCTTGGCTGCTCCTTTACAGGATGCGAAGCAAAATAATTCCTCTCTCACTTCAATGAGCAGATCTTGCCTTTCTTCCTGAGGCGGGCTATCGTGATTCTTCCTTTGTGCCTAAACATCTTCTAAAATCTGTATTTTCCTCTCCCCTTCCTTCCCCTCAGGCTCTCAGCAAAACGTTGACAAAGCACTGGCCCTGATTGGAAAGAAGTTCAAGGATTTGAGTCTCACCAATATCTATGCTCCACTACCCCAACCGTTGCCATTGCATTCCCTCCCCATCACCTCCTGGGTAAGCACAAGCTCAAAAACCCTTAGTAAAACTGGAGAAATTGCTGGCTTTGGAAGGACTTTGATTCGTCAGTTGTTGGGTTGCACTGGGACAGGGGTAGGCAACCTTGGCTCTTTTATGACTCGTGGACTTCAACTCCCAGAATTCCTGAGTCAGCATGACTGACTCAGGAATTCTGGGAGATGAAGTCCACGAGTCATAAAAGAGCCAAGGTTGCCTACCCCTGCAGTAGGATATGGTCCCTTCCTTTCTTACCACATCTCTGTAATGACAGTTTCGAAGCATCTTAGTCTGGTGTCTTCTTGGTGATACTTCTTTCCTGGAGGTGGAAGCATCTGCGGAATCCAGAGCTTTTGTCAAAAGGTTGAAAGCTCCATCACAACAATCTCCAGCTAATTTGTGCATATGTATAAAGTTAGACACACATACTAAAGGAGCTGAGCTTCTGTTGGAACACTGATTTCATGTGTCATGGGTTGACCATTTCCTTGAGAGCTCCTGACCTTAAGATTCTAATGCATTTATGCAGATTTGGAAAGTTGCCTGCGCGTAGCAGAGGTTGGGAACTTGTAGTCCTTACAGCCACCCACAGCCCTTGGCCTATTTTCAGAAACACTCTGTCAGGGTGTAGACCCACAGCATGAACAGCCTGTTCTGTTAAGTTGGGGGGAAGAGAGGGAATAAAACTACCACAGAGACAAAAAGGGAGTTGATAAGAAGAGAGAAGAAGGGGGCACCAATAGAAGAGAATGTGTGTGGTTCAGAGTTGAACTGTGGAATCCTTGGTGTGCTATGAGTTTGGTTGTTGTTTTTTTGTAGACGTTTCATTACCTAATTAGGTAACATCATCAGTGCTAGTTTGAGGTTTATTTCTGACACCAACGGGCAGGGCATGCTGTTGTACACATGCACGCAAAAAGAGTTCCTTAGTGGAGTTTTGCCTGTACGCCAATTTCTCCTATTTGCATGCTTTCTGTAACCAATTAGGTACAGGCAAGATGTTTTCATAATAATCACTCCAAGCATAGTTTGGTATGCAACTCCCTCCTCCTTCCAGCTGAGTGACCTTGAGGCAGCTTCTTGAAGAGATACAGCACTTACTTTCATTTCCCCAAGCATTCCCCTCCTTCATTCCCCCTCCCCACAATTCATCCCAGTCTGTCACAGCATAGAGCAAAGCAAGCATAAGGTGGCAGCTGACAAAATCAGTGTATTGGGGGGGGGGGGGTGAGCAACTTTGTCTCCTTTAAGTGATTTACACAATGTTCAATATCTCCTCCTGTTGAGCCATGTTACTACGCTAACTTAGGACGTTGTAGTCTCTGCAGTACAAAGGGTACAAGTTGCTTAACTCTGCTCTCATTTCTATACAATGTTATAATCTGTAGCTTGGAAATTAAATGCCATAACTTGTGCATGGAAATACATCTCTCTTCATCCTTCTGTGGCAGCTCATGCTTCCTGATGGAGTTACAGTAGAAGTTATTGTGGTTAATCAAGTCAATGCCGGGCACTTATTCGTACAACAACACACGCATCCCACTTTCCACGTCCTTCGTAGCCTAGATCAGCAGATGTATCTCTGCTATTCCCAACCTGGGATTCCTACGATGCCGACCCCAGTAGAGGGTAAGTCTTCTCCGATATAGTTTCCATGCACCTTTGCACCATTGATAAAGGAGGTGATGTTGGTTTGATCACCAAAATGGAAGCAGAAAAGAATCATTCTTCAGCCTTCTAGTGTTTTGCTATTATAGGTGAGCAAGTTTGGTCTAGTGGTTAAGACAAGGGTCTTCAAACCTGGCCCTTTTATGACTTGTGGAGTTCAACTCCCAGTTGAAGTCATAAAAGGGCCAAGTTTGAAGACTCCTGGGTTAAGACATCGTGCTAGAAACCAGGAGACTGTGAGTTCTAGTCCTGCCTTAGGCATGAAAGCCAGCTGGGTGATTTTGGGCCAATCAGCAGGAAAGTGTGAATCTGATTGCCAAGTCCACAAGTCTTAAAGTTGTCAAGTTTGAAGACCCCTGGCATAACTGAACAAATGATGTTAATTGGCACGGAGCCCATGGCATTAGCATCCATTGGATAAAATGTTGACCACAGATCTTCAGGTTTCATTTGGGGCAGAGACTGTCTCGCCACCTGCAAAGTTTGTTTATTTCTGAAAAAAGAAAAGAATGCTATTATGGAGTGGTTACAGGTAGTCCTTGACTTACAGCTGGTCACTGACTAACCTTTCAAAATTCTGATGGTTCCCCCCTACCGCCTGCCAAACGGTCCTTTTGACTTGGTTTTAAAGTTTTAACATCTGCTCCCCCATGGTCATGTGACTGCATTTTGGCTGCTTGGCAGTTGGCCCGCATTTATGGCCATTTGAGGTGTCCTGCGGTCATGTGATTGCAGTTTACACTGTTCTGGGCCAAAACTGTCATTTGTTTCCAGTTTTCACTCAAAACGCCCCATAGGAAACAGTGGGTTTATTTAATGACTGCAGATTTATTTAACTTTTATAATGATTTGTTGGACGACCACTGCAAAAAAAAAAAAGTACAATTAGTCACACAATAGCAATAGCACTTAGACTTATATACTGCTTCATAGTGCTTTACAGCCCTGTCTAAGCGGTTTACAGAGTCAGCATATTGCCCCCAACAATCTGGGTCCTCATTTTACTGACCTCAGAAGGATGGAAGGTGTAGTCAACCTTGAGCCGGTCAGGATCGAACTACTGGCAGTGGAATTAGCCTGCAATACTGCATTCCAACCACTGCGCCACCATGGCTCGCTTTATGATCATCATGACTTAAAATCATAATGGGCAGGCTCCAACATGGTCATAAGTCGAGAACTACTTGTATGTTGAAAGACTATTAGTAAAGGAAGGACTTAAGGCGGACCCCGTTCTTCTATAGCAGAGATGGGGAATGATGGCCCCCTTATGACTTGTGGACTTCAACTGGCTCAGGAATTCTAGGAGTTGAAGTACACAAGTCATAAAAGGACCATGCTTCCCCACCCCTGTCCCCCACACGCACACACTTCTTTATTTCCCAGAAAGCTATTGCATTGCCTACTGAATTGTTCCCAATTTTTCTGTTCTGCAGTTGGCGTTGTCTGTGCCGCACCGGGTGTGGAAGGCGCGTGGTGGCGGGCACAAGTGGTTGGCTACTTCAAAGATGTCAGCGAAGTGGAAATCAGATATGTGGATTATGGTGGATACGACCGAGTCAAGATTGATTTGCTTAGACAAATCAGGTGAGGTGACCCGGAGTTCCTTTCCGAGAGGTTGGCATCCTGAATTCTATGAATGTTGAAATAGATGGACCTTGTTTCATCCTTGCAGACTTTTTCCAGATTCTCCACTTGAAACTAGTTCAGGAGTGTCCAACATTGGCCACTTTAAGACCTGTGGACTTCAACTCTCAGCTAGCTGGCTGGGAAATTCTGGCAGTGGAAGTGTACAAGTGTTACAGTGGCCAGTGTTGGACATCCCTGAACTAGAATTTCAGAATAGAGTAAAACTGGAAGGGGCCTTGGAAGTCTTCTAGTCCAAGGGTCCCCAACTTTTCTGGGTTGGCAGACTGGGGCGGGGGTGGTGGAGGCGCCTTTAAGCGTGTGAGCGAGTGCCCATGTGAACTGGGCCGCAAGCGCACACACACGGGGCTGCGATTGCATGTATAATGTCGACGGGGCCACAAGCACCTGTGCAATGGTCAGGTGATGCTAGCATCCACACATTGCTGCAATGCTAGCGCGAGTGAGGATTTGTGCTCGCAGGGACGATAACGCCTGTGCAATGCCGCAATACTAGCACGAGTAGAGGGAGCGTGCGCTTATGATGCTAGCGCCCGCACAACACTCAAGACATCACTAGAGTCACCGTGACACTGGCACGAGTGGGGGGGGGCATGAGCTCATGATGACGCTAGCGCCTGCACAATGCTCACAGCATCGCTAGTGCCCGCGCGACTTTGCAACGTTACCGTGAGTGGGGATTGCAAGCACACACGCGTATGCACTGGCCAGCCACTGACGCGGCCCAGTGGCCATCAGCCCATGGCCCAGTAGTGAGCCATGGCCCACAGGTTGGGGACCCCTGTTCTAGTCCAGCCCCCCATTCAAGCAGGAGACCCTACACCACTTGAGACAAGTGGCTGTCCAGTCTCTTCTTAAAAACCTCCAGTGATGAAGCGCCCACAACTTCCGAAGGCAAGCTGTTCCAGTGGTTAACTGTAAGAAATTAGAGTTTCTTATAGATGAACACCAGTGGTCTGGAAGAAGCAGTTGGAAAATGTGATTGTAATATAGTGTAGCAATTAAAATGTTGGCCTTTAGTTGGGTGGGTAGTTTGGTTGAATTATCCTCGCAATGATGGGGCTTCACAATTGGCAGGCGTTTATAACAGTCACAGCTCCCTCCGCTCAAGTGACCGCCATTTGCTTGCTTCACAGCCATCTCTCAACAAGCAGAATCGATAGAGAAGCCGGCAATAAAATTGCCAGCCATGATTACCTGATGTCTCTCTTAATGACCATATTGCTCAGTGACAAAATTGTTGGTCCCAATTGTGGTTGTTAAGTGAGGAATACCTGTACTTATTCTTACGTGTGTATTAATGGTGTGCTGTATTTTTAAATTCTGTGACTTGATCTTGGACAAAAAATAAACAGCTAAAAAAATAAACTCTAGCTTAGTCATGCTAGATACAAGTTGATCTTGAAAATTGCTTGGCTGACTTTCAGAATTCTGTTACATTGCCTTATTAGCAATAAAGATCTTTCTCACAATGCAAGAAATTCTTAAGTTGGGCACACACACACACACAGCCATAAGTAGTCAGGGGACCAATTTTAAGGCCATATTTAACCAAGAGCTGGTCACAGGCTACACTGGATTAAGTTAACAATCACATGGCTCACTCAATAACCACATGATCTGCTTAATGACCACCATGACTCACTTAACAACCACTGTAAAAGTTGTAAAATCGAGTCAGATCATATGATGACCTGCTTAATGACTGCAACGAGGACCAAAATTCTGGGTTCAGTTGAGTTTGTAAGTGGAAGACTATTTGCAAAAATAACGACCCTTTGGATAGCCCAGTGGGCCTTTGAGGGTCAGTATTAATCATTTTGGGGAACTCTAGTCCAGTGATGGCGAACCTTTTAGACACCGAGTGCCCAAAAACCGTTCCGTCCCTGTCCCGCCCACTCTGCTCTGCCCCCTGCCCTGCCTACTCCGCCCCACCTCCTGCCCTACCCACTCTGCCCTGTTCAGCCCCTGCCCCCCGCAGGGCCACCTACCACCTCCATGGCCCGCCGCGGCAGATCGCCCAGGCGGCCCTGCAGCACCATGGCGGCCACGCAGATGCTGCTGCAGGGTGTGGGGGCGGAGTCTTGTACCTGCTGCCCAGCTGCCATGTCCTTGGCTGCGCTGATCCGCACAGACCACAACCAGGGGCGACTCTCCTCCGGGGGAGGCTGCTGGTGAGGAGGGGGCCGTGGGGGGAAGTGGGACTGGGGTGACGGCACGCGTGCCTACAGAGAGGGCTCTGAGTGCCGCCTCTGGCACGCATGCCATAGGTTCGCCATCACTGCTCTAGTCTAAACCCAATAGCTTGCTGCCAAAAATATTCTCATTTTTTGCCCAAAGGAGCTAGAGAGAAGGAAGCTTTGGGTCTTAGATTGTAAACCTAGACCAGGGGTTGGTAACCTTGGCTCTTTTATGACTCATGGACTTCAACTCCCAGAATTCCTGAGCCGGCATGACTCAGCATGGAAACCTCTCCCTTTCTCCTCAGCATGGATGGCTCAGGAATTCTGGGAGTTGAAGTCCCCGAGTCATAAAAGAGCCAAGGTTGCCTACCCCTGGCCTAGACATTTCTAAGGTGTCTGTTTGTTCTTCTAATACATTTCCTTATTCATCTCTCTCTCTCTCTTTTTATTTTTAAGATCTGACTTTGTAACCCTGCCATTCCAAGGAGCTGAGGTTCTTTTGGACAACGTGGTGCCACTTCCAGGTAATACCCCCTAGAAACGTAAGAGGGATGTGTCTATCTTTGTGGTTTGGGATTTTATTACAGGTAGTCCTCGACTTATGACCACAATTGAGACCAAAATTTCTGTTGCTAATTAAGACAACTGTTAAAGTGAGTTTGGCCCCATTTTATGATTTCTTCTCCACCATCCAGTCAGAGCTGAAGAAGCTTCTTGGATGAAAAGCGAAACGTCTTCAAAGAGAGAAAAAAAGAAACTCCAGTTGCCTCATGAAAAAGCACCTTTGGGTTGTAAAGTCAGGTTGATCATGTAACTGATCGCTTTATGATCATCATGGGTTACAACTGTGATTGGCAAGTTTCATTACGGTCGTAACTCAAGGACTACCTGCACAGGATACAAAATTTGAAATGGCAATCCAGCACCAATAACCCAACAACTGAAAGGCAGCTCCATTCATCCAGCCATTCAGTAAATTGCATTGGTGGAAAATGATGGGAAGGGCTGAGTTCGGATTCTTCTCAGACTTAACTCAGGAACTTACCGTACTTACTTGAAGATAAGCTGAGAACTTTAGCTACCAAAATATACCTCCAAATTGGGTTTGGCTTATCTTTAAATTAAATGTATTACATTAGTAATGATACTTTTTAAAAGTATCTGCATCTACTTGCATATAAACCCATCTGTGTGTAAGCTGAGCCTGGCATTTTTAACCAAAATACCATGAAAATCAGATTATGCACAAAAGCCAATTGTGAAAATTAAAAGATGAAAATTTCGAGAGGCAGATTATTCACAGATGGGCTTACAGGCAAGTATATACATTACTTGTATTCTCAGTGCAAACCTTTTCTGCTTCCTTCAGGGATTTTCATGCTCAGTTATAATTTGAGCAATTTTAAAAACTGTTTATTTTTTGCTCCTGCCTTCCCGGAAAAGGCAGGAATAACCCAATGGAAAGGTTCAGGAGTGGTTCTGGAGTGCTTAATTTGGGTCTGGATTCAGGGGCCACTTTGAATAATTATTCTTTCTCTCCCCTCCTTTCTATTAAAGATGATGATAACTTCTCATCTGAAGCTGACACGGTTGTTAGTGAAATGACCAGGGATACACCCTTACTTGCAGAGGTAAGAGTAACAGCTACAGGTGGGTTGCTTACAGCTATTTTGATTTGATTAAACTTGGGAAAAAGCTGGCATTTGTGGTGAGAAATCCTTTTTCCTTCCATTAACAAAGGGAATGTCAAACTAGTGAGAAAGGGTGATGTTGTAGAATCCAAACTTCCTGATATCTCAGTGCCCTTGGCTTGTTCGAATTCAGTTTGATGTTTTATAAGAGAGCCAGTTTAGTCTTGTCATTAAGGCGCCAGTCTAGAAAGCAGGAGACCATGAGTTCTAGTCCCACTTTAGCCATGAAAGCCGGCCAGGTGACTTTGGTCCAGTCCCTTTCTCTCAGCCCAATTCACCACATGGAGCTATGGTTGTGAGGAAAATAGGAAGAGAAAGGTGTGTTGGGTTGCTGCCTTGAGCTATTTGTAAAAATAATGAAGACAGAATGCAAATAAATAAGTTATTCTTCACAATCTACTGGTTGGACCAGGGGTCTTCAAACTTGGCCCTTTTATGACTTGTGGACTTCAGCTCCCAGAATTCCTCAGCCAGGCACACTGGCTGAGGAATTCTGGGAGTTGAAGTCCACAAGTCATAAAAGGGCCAAATTTGAAGACCCCTGAGTTGGACTATAGCAACGTGTTCTACCCTTGAAAAGTATCTGGGAGCTTCAGCTGGTACAAAATTGGGCCTTGTGGGATATCTTGGACGCCCAGAGAATGGCGCATGTAACAACTTTGCTATATGAGCTGCATTGGGTGCCAGTTTGCTTCTGGGTCCAATTCAAGGAGCGGGTTGTGGTCTATAAAGCATGGGGCCAGGTTACCTATGGATTAGGAACCGTTTTCGTCCCATTACATCAGTCTGTCCCACCCAGTCAATCAGGGATGGTTTTTTCATGGACCCTGTCAGTTAAATCATTTTGACTGGCGGGGTCCAGGAAGAGAGCCTTCTCTGACGTTGCCCCTGCCCTGTGGAACACTCTCCCTCCAGAGGTTGGAGAGGTGGGTCCCCACTCCTGGTATTATAATAGTAGTAGTAGTAGTAGTAGTAGTAATAATAATAATAATAATAATAATAATAATAACAACAACAACAATAATAATAATAATAATAATAATAATAATAATAATAATAATAATAATAAAAAATAAAAAAATAATAAAAATAATAAAAAAAAAGTTGGAAGGGACCTTGGAGGTCATCAAGTCCAACCCCCTACTCAGGCAGGAAACCCTATACCATTTCAGACAAATGGCTGTCCAGTCTCTTCTTAAAAACTTCCAGTGTTGGAGCATTTACAGCTTCTGGAGGCAGGTTGTTCCACTGGTTAATTGTTCTAACTGTCAGGAAGTTTCTCCTTAGTTCTAGGTTGCTTCTCTCCTTGATTAGTTTCCATCCGTTGCTTCTTGTCCTTCTGTAAAGACATCAAAACAAGCGGCCTTGCTTAGGGCACACAAAGGAGCCACACAGCCCTGGGGCTCGTTAGCATCCTGCAAGCCCTCCTCCTGCCCTTTAATTCATTTTTTTACACTCTTTGCCTTTTTAAAATTTTATATACTCTTTTTTTATGCTTTTAATATTTTATTGTACACCACCCGGAGTGTCTCTGTGAGAGAGATGCTGGTTCTTAAATATGATGAATAAATAAATTGTGAGCCAGGCAAATTCTTGTCCAGAGCCTGGTGAAAAGATTTTAGTAACCTCTAGGATAGGGGTGGGGGAACCTTGGCTCTTTTATGACTTGTGGACTTCAACTCCCAGAATTCCTGAGCCAGCCAGCCCCACCCCTGCTCTAGGAAGATTTTCGATCCATTGCAACATAGTGCAACATAACGTAGTAGCTCAAAGGGATAACTGTAGGTAGGAGAAGAGCAGGCAGAGCTGGAGAGATGGACTAAATGCATCATCAGTTTAGTTGTGATCCCACAAAAACTCTCAAGTCCAACCCCTCCTAAATTCCATTGACCCTTAACTGGTGCCAATTTAGTGTTGAACTTCAGTTTACCAGATTGTTGTGTACAGCTGTCCTTGACTTACAATAGTTCGTTTAGTGACTGTTTGAAGTTACAACGACACTGAAAAAAGTGACTTACGACCATTTTTGACACTTACAATTGTTGCAGCATCCCCCTGGTCACGTGAACAAAATTCAGATGTGTGTCTCATATTTATGACGGTTGCAGTGTCCCAGGGTCATGAGATCATCTTTTGCCACCTTCTCACACGGTCAATGGGGAAGCCAGATTCACTTAACAACTGTGTTACAGACTTAACAGCTGCGGTGATTCAGTGGCAAGGAAAGGTTGTAAAATGGAGCAAAACTCACTTAACAAATTTCTCGCTTAGCAACAGAAATGTTGAGCTCAGTCGTGGTTGTAAGTTGAGGATGAACTGCCCCCAGAGATCAGGGTTATCCCTGATCTCCCTTCCTTTCGCCGCGCCCTCAAGACTTGGTTATTCCAGCTCGCAGGACTGGCCTAGGGTAATTTTTAGAGGGGTTTTAATCAATATTTTAAATTGGACAATTCTTTAATATTCCTTTTAATTAATTTTAAATCTGTATTGTTATTTGTGTATTTTAATTG